TGATCCGCACCTACAGAAAGTCCTTTTCTCTATTCATATAATTATTCCCCTTTCCTTTCTCCTAAATACCCCTTGCCTTCACCTCCCAGTTAAAACACCATTTGGGTTTCCACCTACATTACCGCTTCCCCGAATTACCATTCTTTTTAGATCGCAAAGGTTTATGACCTCTCACCTACCCTTTTTTATTTTTAGGTTAACGGAACCAAATTGCTATATGATCCAGGTTTTCTCAGCATTGTACTCCCCAGAGAAAACACCCGCTCCGCTCCTGCCGCCCTTATCTAGGAAAAGACCCCAGATTGGACACTGATCCCAAAGCGACACCGGAGAGCCCTTCCGGACCAGCAGGAGCCGGAACCCAAGCGCAGGGGGTTGAGTTTCTTCCGCTTCCGCCGGGCCTCTCTGCGGAAGGGACTGGCGCAAATGCAACTTCCTGCCGGACTGAGCTGTAAAGGCGAATCCCCGCGAGGAGGTAGAGCTCCGCACTCTGGGTCAAGGTAACCTCCGTGGCCGCTGTGGGAAGCCCGGCGCGGCTGGACACGCGTAACCATGTGGCACCTGCTGGCCCGCGCCAGCGGGCCTCTCCTGCGAGCGCCTTTATCAGGTCAGAAGTCCCCTGGGTCGCACAGACTGTCCCTTTTTCCACCCCATCCCTAGTCCGGTGTGTCTCAAACTCAAAGAAGGTCCTGCATATGGTTGCTGAAAACGAAGCGCTGGTCCGGTCTGCAGTTTGCTGCCGCCCTTCCTGCCTTAAGATTCGTGCAAAAGGGTCCCAGCCGCTATCGGGGTTGGCGCCGAGAGACACCCTCCCCGCCCCGCCCCGGCTGGTCTCTTGGGGCGCCTGAGCCCCATTTAGTGGAACTCGCGTCCCACCCTTCAAGATACCTCTATCAGGGGTGTCTCTGGCCCTTGCCTTATCGCTTTCCTGGTTTAATTTGATTTGTCTTTGTAGGTTCTTGGGCAGCCCCAGCCGCCAGTGCTGGCCTAAAGACGCTGCTCCCGGTGCCGACTTATGAGGGTGAGCGCTCATTTGTCATTTTCATGTTTGTAAGCCTTTTGTCTGCTGGAATCCAGCAGAGGGTAAGCGAAGACAAAGGAGTGTGTGCTATCTCCATTCACTCGTTCAGTAAATATATATTGAGGGTATACTATATGCCAAACAGTGCTCTAAATACTAGAGAGAAATCAAAGAACAAGAGACTCCCAAAGGTCCCTGCTTTTATGGAGCAAATATATAATGGGATAGTTCTCCTATGGACCATGGCCCACCCTCAGCTATGGCTGATTGGCCTCAAATTTAGACCTTTGATGTTCTCTCCAAATAAGATTATACCTATATGCAGTCACTTAACAAGATTATGTGAAAAGCATTCAATTGTTACATGTAAATATTTAAGGTGAGGCACAATTTTGTAAGTCTAATTTACCATTTCTTTTTAAAAATATATTGGAAATCTCAAGAAATTAAAGGGGCCTGAACTTCTGAGAGCCTTATCTTTTACACATAATTGTTAAACTGCTATATGTTCCAGAAGTATGTATGGACTTGTAGGCCAAAGAAAGCATTACTGTTTCTCTGAAGCTTCGTATAGAAACTTGGGGGTGAGGAGGTAGAGGAGATAGGACAGTTTTTGTGGCTCTTAATAGCCTATTAATAATTTGATATTTCATTGAAATCTCCTGTTTTATATTTGACTCCACTGTAGAGCCATGTTTGTTTTATTATAGAAATGTTTTAAATGTCTTAAAAGTTAACTTTTTAAAAATATATATATATTTTTATAGATTTCAGAAAGGAAGGGAGAGAAACATAAGTGATGAGAGAATCAATGATTGGCTGCCTCCTGCACACCCTTATGGGGATCAAACCCACAACCCTGGGCATGTGCCCTTGACTGGAATCAAACCCCAGACCCTTAAGTCTGCAGATGATCTATCCACTGAAGCCAAACCAGTTAGGGCCAAGTTAACTTTTTATTCCAAAACTAGAGGCCCAATGCAACAGGACCCTATGCCTGGCTGATGATCAGGGCCAATCGCCGCCTTTCTTCGTTCTGTGCCGCCCCCTGGTGGTCAGGGCACATCATAGCGAGCGAGCGAACTCCCAAGGAGACACTTTGCATATTAGCCTTTTATATATTTAGACAGACATGATAAAGATGTAGTGTATGTTGACCTGCATTTCAGCACACCCACCCTCATCCAGCAAGCTGTTGCATATTGTGAGTATATGCAGGTCTCGTCATTAAAAGCCCCTGCCTAAATTAAGGAAAGAGCACTAATCACAGAAGTCTTAGATTGTAAGTTCCCCAAGAATGTAGCAGAGCAGGAAAACTTGGATATTTTCATGTACAATATAGAATTCTACTACCCCCATTAACATCCAGAGAGGTAGTGTAGTTTTCACTTTAAGTATCATACTGTCTGGCTTTGCTGTTTTAACTGGATTACCTGGACTAAATATGAAATGTCCCTAGGCCTCAAGTTCCTCTTGTCTAAAACGGAAATTGAAAATACTACCTGCCTCATATTCTGTTTCTTGGTCTGGATGATGTTTATTTGGGTATGTTCATGCATTCTTTTTGTGATAATTCACTGATCAGTGAGGGGTTTTTATTTGGCCCTTTGACATATATGTGTAAAATTTTAAAAAGTTTTAAAAGAAAGCCCTAAAAAATACCAAGGCTTTAACGTTGTTTTAAGAGATTGAGATAAGGAGTGTAAAACATTCATCTGAATTCCAGCGCTAAATAAAAAATTTAAAAAAATATTGGCTAGTGTTATTCTGTGAGTCTTGTATCTCTATACTGTCTCAAATGGTCCCTTTTAGAGTGTTAGGCACAGAATAGTCACTTAATTCATGGATTTTGTTTTGAAAGCTAAAACTGCTACCTTAAAATTTTTTAAACATTTACATTGATCATTGTCATAGCCAAAGAATTCCAATGTTAACAAGAAAAACCTAACATACTTTAGAACTATTGTTCCAAGGTAACTTTTATTTAAGACTTTCTCCTGATTGCTAAAAATTTTTCTAGGAAGAAAATTAATCCTTTGAGATGTATAGTATCACTTATTCTTAATCATCCATGTTTCTTGTAGATGTTTCCATTCCTGAAAGGCCCAAGCTTAAATTTGTTGAAAGGATGCCACTTGTGCCAAAAGTTCGAAGAGAACCTAAAAACTTGCGTGACATACGAGGACCTTCAACTGAAGGTACTGAGTTCACAGAAGGCAATTTTGCAATCTTGGTGAGTTCAGTGGCAAGCAGCTCCAGGGTGGAAGTCAGAGATTAACATAATCTCATATTCTTTGAATCTCTTCCTTCATAGGTTTTATTAAAACTGCCACCAGTTGTTCTTTAAACTGATGTGCAAAACCCAGTAAATATTTGAATTATGTATGGGTGTTATTTACGTGTGTTTTTTTTATGTAGAGCGAAAATAATGTAAAAGCAGGGGGGAGAAGAGGCTACCTAATTTACCCCATAATCAGAGCATGAGATCTTTGCAGGCCTCTGGAAAAATAAAACTATCCACTATTTAGGATGTGAGACTGCTGTTTCCTTACTCACTGAGTAGCTTCCATGAAGACTTGATGTCAGAGCAGCAAAAATGGATGTGAATTAGGCTTTATTTCCCACCAGGCAGCCAAAGCGATGTTTTAACGTCCTCTTCACATAACCCCAAGATCAGGCCCTGACTACCTCTCAGACCCTCATGTTCACTCTCACCTGCCCATTCCTCACTACTCCAGCCTCTCTCTGGCTTCTCAAACTTCAAGCCTTCACCTACACCATTCTCTGCCTGGAATTCTGGTCTCTCTTCCTTTGGTTAGTTCTTACTGTTGTGGCCTCAGCTTTAAATGTCACCTCCTCAAAGAAGCCTTTCCTGGCTACACATTGAAGTAAGTCCTTGTTCTCATTTCTTACTTGGTCCTAGGCTTTCCGTGGCACTTGTTAGAACTCTTATTTTCATTTGTATGTTGAAGCCACAGTTGCTATAAAAGAAGACATAAGAATAGAGTCCATTAAATCCCTATGTGCTTCTAATTTTCCCATTCACTTTTAGGCACTGGGTGGTGGTTACCTCCACTGGGGCCATTTTGAAATGATGCGCCTGACGATCAACCGCTCTATGGACGCCAAGAACATGTTTGCCTTATGGCGAGTACCAGCACCTTTCAAGCCTGTCACCCGCAAGGGTATGGGACAGCGTATGGGGGGTGGCAAAGGCGCCATTGATCACTATGTGACTCCTGTGAAGACTGGCCGCCTCATAGTAGAGGTGGGCGGACGCTGTGAATTCAAAGAGGTAGAAGGTTTCCTCAGCCAGGTTGCCCACAAGTTGCCCTTCCCAGCAAAGGCTGTGAGCCGTGAAACCCTAGAGAAGATGCGGAAAGATCAAGAGGAACGAGAGCGTAACAATCAAAACCCCTGGTCCTTTGAGCGCATAGCCACTGCCAACATGCTAGGGATACGGAAATATCTGAGCCCATATGACCTGACCCAGAAGGGGAGATACTGGGGCAAATTCTACCTGCCTGAACGTGTGTAGTGAGAATATGAGAAATAAATGTACAGAGAGAAGGAATCTTTATTTTTGTTCCCCTCAGTTACCTTGAAGTCTGGGTAGCTCTGATGTCATAATCAAGGAGCCACATATGAGTTATAGATGAAAGTGCATTATATTTGTATTAAATAAAATTTTAGTATCACCTCTGGTTATAACTTTTTATTGGTCACTCTTAATCCCGTAAATGATTACGAAACAGGCCTGATGGACTTGGGAGCTCTGGTCCTCCCCGGCCATATGGTGAACATCTTCAGGACTAATGCAGCTGTTTGCATCTCCCACCTCTGATGCAAATCAGACTTAGTATCTGTACCTCCTTTTATATGTACAAACTTCAGGAGCTAGTTTCTAAGATCTTTTACTAGTTATAGATACAAACTAATGTTTTTAGAAAAGCAAAGAAATAAAATGACAGTGTATGGGTTAATTCAACAGATATTTACTCCTGCCTAGCTATCCATCTTCTCTCAATCTTGGGGGTTGGGAGCAGTTATTGGTAATAAACCCTTGCCTTTTAGCAAAAGGAACTGAAAAACAAAAGTTAGAATTGTGTGGTCGTTCCTAGGTCTGAAATTGTTTAAGAAAGAAGAGTATCTGGCTCTATCTTTGTATCCCTGCAGTTTCTAGTACAGTGCAATGTGCCATACAGGACTTGAATAGTTAATGCTGGATAAATAAGGGCCCCATGGTTCCAACTCCTTATTTGCCTTTGCCAAGATTAATTGACTTTTCAGGACTAGCCAGCAGTAGTTTTCTATCCATTGTTCACTCTAGAGGAAATACAAGTTGATAGAAACATTAAGCCATTTGCTTTTGAAAGTGGGTAAAAAGCACACTGATAAAATGTAATGTCAAATATTTTTATCTCACTTAAAAAGTTAACATCTCCCACAAAGAAAATAATTTACTTTCAAAAGTACAAATTTACCTCAACAGTTGTATGGTCCTTAAAAGTTGTATGCTATTTTTAATGTATTTTTAGTTAATCACTTGAAATATAATCACTAAATTGCATAGAAATGTGAACCTTGAATTGGGGACAGTGTCTGGAACATTTTCTTGTACACACATTGCTGGCCAACAACAAAGTCAGTTTCAGTTAGCAATGTGAATTAGGTAAGAAGAAAGTGAGTGATAGCCACACTTCACCTTTCTGACCTAACATCTTCATCTCCTTTTTTAGGATTCATAGAGCACACTACTGATAACTGTTAGGAGTTCAACCAAAGTATGAACCTGTTTTGTTTTGGATCCATGTTCAGTTATTAAACCACAATCCTTGGGAACCAACCATCTTAACAGGGTGAGAGACTGTTAATGGCTCCACCATCCACAGCGAAAGGACTTTACAGTATAAATTTGTAAGGGGGATCCTGTTTTGTTTTTACATAAGTAGATCAACCCATTCCAGGCATTTTATGGAGCCTCTGATACTAACAAACCATTTTCCATTGATGCTTTAAATGTTTAAGAGTCAAATCCAAAGACATGAATAGAAACCAGAGCTTAAATTGCAGGCACTGTGCTAAACACTGAGGACAGCAGTGAACAAGACATGTCTGGTGCCTATCATTAGGCACTTCACTTTAAAGACTAGAGGGCCCTGAAGAAGGAAGCAGGTGTAGGGTTGGTCAAAAGTGAGGCATAGAAGAACCAGAAGAGCAGAAGTAAAAAGTGCCCAACCCTGATCAGTTGATCCTGATGAACTGGGTATGCTACAATATCTGCCTTTATTTCCTGTTACCCTGCAGTCCGTTCCTTCAAACCTGCTAAGTATTTCTGGACTCCTTGTTACTCCACCACTGCTCACTGCCTAACTCTGTATTGTCATAATGTCTCCCTTTGCATAACTTTCAGTAGGTATTTGACTGGTGTCCTGTATCATAAGAGGTTTCATAATGAAAAGAGGAGTCACTGTTGAGGAATCCTTAGTGAGAAGTGATGGCACCACAGAGGTGGACGGAGGATTAAAAATGCCAGTTGAGGATCCATCTGTGAGGGCTGAAGGAGATAAGAGTGGAGGGGGGAAATAAAAGATTATACAGCAAATTGTTCAAGGTCAGGATCACCAATCTCTTTTCTGCAGGGGGAATGGGCTACTCACAGGCTATGTTAATATGCCCTAATCTTCTAAGGGAGAAAATTTATTTACATCAGGTTTACTATGTGGCCCTTTTCCAAAGAGTTTAAGGTGCTTCTAATACAAGAACTGATTCTTTATCCTTGGCCATTCCTAGATGGCAAGGCCCACATTTTGCTGCAGTAGACTAACACCCTCATAGAAAGCATTCTACCAGACCCGATTGCCACCTTTGTCTCTTTATCTACCTACTACCAATGCATCCTCACTCACTTTTCTCATTATGAAGCATCTCTCTCAGCCTTCTCCAACCTTCATCTATTCTAATACCTAATCCCACCCAGACTTTGGTGACAAACAAGGAATGCCCTCAGGACACACCCATTTCAAGTAAGTGAAAGCAGACCTGACCCTCCCCACAGATGGCTCACCTTTTTCAGGCAAATATGCCTCCAATGGTAGAAGCTAAGATAATCGCAAGAATGATACAGCAGATCATGATCATGATCTTCTTCTGCTCATCCAGACGAAGAGAGAAAAAGCACATGAGAAACAACATCACTGTGCAGACAGAGTTCCCACAGAACGGAGACAACGTGGATCAGGACATGGAAGGGGATATGAAGGCAAGGGGAGATGGATCTGGCTTCCAGAACCCAGAGTGTAGGATATTTCTTCTAAGTGAGAGATTCCAAATTCAGTCAACAGCTATCTTGGATGATAGCTGTTTACTAGTAGTATGTTCTGTCAGGTAGGTACCATCACACCAACTTACCCATTTCCTCCAGGAGCCACTATGCTCAATGAGTGGGTCAAACTCTTTGGGGAGAGCACCTCAACTCTGAAACTCAAATACAATTACATTGCACTCTTTGAGAGCTGAACCATTTTCAAGAATTAAAACTTCAGATCTATCACCCAACACATTTAAAATATATACCCCATTCCTAAACTCACCACATGATGGCGCCCAATCACTATTTTGCAGGGAAATTGAGACAGAACTGGTTTCACAATCAATATAAAGTCATTTATTTTTAAATAGCAATAAAATAATCAAGTGTACTTCTTAAAAAATACAAACAACAACAAAAACCTTCACTTATATTGTATTCCAAACTATAAGCCCCAGACCTCGATCTCAGGTGAGCAAAAGCTTGTGATTAGAGCTTGTCTGGCCTTGCTGCTAGAGCCAGTCCACTGTCAACTTCATAGCCATGGGCAAGAGACATCCCCTTGGCTCTGTCTGAGTGCTGGATGATGACTGGAAGTAGATTTTGCAAAGGAAACCAATGGGCAGTGCCTGGATGAGGGTGCTTGCCATGCCCTAGAAAGCATTAAAATCAATACTAAAGTATAAGTCAGACTGGCAGAGACCAGCATGGAATCTAAGAGGCTCAAAACTGGGCCAGCACAGTCATGACACTTGAAAATTTCCCAGGTATTGCTTCCTCACTGATGAGATTATGGGAGACAAAGCACCTGTCAAGCTTATTAACCTGATAGAAAGCAGAACTACTCAGTAGTTCCTGGTGTCCCTCAACAGACTCAGCCCTGAAGACAGGACATCCCAGAGGTCACACAAGTTATATCAAGTTGCTCTGGGTTAAGCCTAGCCTAGACAGCAGTGAAAGGTTTCAAAACTTCCCACATATCTGCTAAGCAGAAAAAATTTAATGGAGATCAACTTAGTCCTCACCCTAAAGACCTACACTTCTCCCAGTCATCATCCAGAGCCAGCAGGCTTCTCCATGATATGGGAAGATCCTGCTTCTATGACTCATTTGCAGGTAAGCAATGTCTCTTACCTAATTTTTGGCCTAACTCGAGGTTGTTGTGTTTTGTTTATTTATTTTTGGAGTGGTATGTGTGTTGTGTATGTGTATGGGTTTTTTGAGGCTATATCCTCCACTTCTAGCTTCCTACTTCATGAGAGACACATGAAGAGCTATATACATTAGCCAATTATAAAAATTTACCTGGAACAAATGAAATGAGTGACGGAATGCTGGCACCAGTCTGAAATATTTCCAGAGCCAAAGACTCAAGCACCTTGTCCCTGGCTCAATGTTAAGTGCCAAACATTTTTTAAAGTAAAAAATATTTGACTTCAAGGCAGTGGCTTTACAAAGAATCACCCTTAATTAGTGGGCAACAAGTTTCCAAGACTCGGCCATGAAAACAAATATCCCATATCCTCAGCCTACATAAATGATAACCTCAGATGACTGCATCAACTGACGCCACCTACAGTAAACATGAGAGAATACAACACAGACAAATATCGAAGTTGGCCACTAACCTAAATATACTAAGAGCTTCATTTAAGGCTGAATTTCAAGCAAGTCAGCTCTCAGACCAAAATGATATCTGCCAATCCCTCATATTTTCAGGACATATGGACAATAAACTGAAAACTGGGACCCTGCCAGGTAGAAGACTCAAGTCCAAACCTACTGTTGAAAGAATCCCTTTGCTTTGTTAAAGAAACCCTCCTAAGAAAGATACATTGCAATTTCTGGGAGAATAATAATAGTCCATGAGGTAGAAAATACAGCACCTTGGGAAGGTTTTGAATAATTGGCTTTCCAAGGTGCAAAGCAAAAATTTGACATAGTAGAGGGGAGAAAGAGAAGCCAGGCTGGTTCAGACACTGCAGGTTTTGAGGAAAACTTGGGGTTGCATCAGGTAGATAAGACTCCTCCAGGGCTAGATGGTTTGCTGGGTCAGGTCCAAGTACGGTTACAGGAAACAAAGAAATGGGTCCCATCCTCTTTCAGGAAGGCTAAACTCCATGCTCATCTGAAGACAAGGTGGCCACGCCAGGCTGGAGTAGAATCGGGCTCTAGGGGAGGCAGGGGAAGGAGGATCAGTGCACAGGATGATGTTGAAGGGCAACATTAAGAATCAGCCAAAACCTAGAAGGTGGAGAGGAAAGATCAGAAATACCTGAAAAGGGGAGAATAATGGGAAAGTCAATGCTAAACCTGAGAAATCCAATAGACACACCAAGACAGGACCTGAAATGAAAAATCCCACTGTATAAGAGAGGGAAAGTTTTTTAAATCTCTGGCCCTTTCTCTAATTCTTCACACAGGCTGTCACATACCCATGGAAGGACTCGTCAGTGGGGAGGCACAATCACATGTTGGAAATACCTATTCTACTGTGGGGCCAACATCAGTGCCTTTCAAACACATGCTTCAGAAACTTTCTGGGACTCCAGTCTTCTCTATGACTCCCCTGATGCTCTACTTCTCTTAGAGGACAGAAAAACAGTGAAAAGAATATGGAAAAGCTCAGGGCTTATATCACATGTGTCAAACACAAGGCCCGCGGGCCAAATCCGTCCCGCCAGGCCTTGCAATGTGGCCCGTACCGCGCTGTCATCACTGCACTCCGCTGCGTTTCCATCACAATGACAGTTTATGACTGTTCAGTAAACCATTCGGCCCGCGATTTAGGCTGGATTTTAGATTTTGGCCCCTTCTCTGATTGAGTTCGACACCCCTAGCTTATATTATGGCTACTCTGCTTTATGTGTGGATCTGGGCAAGTTTCTTAGCTTATTGAGCTTCAAAGAACTTTCCTATCTGAAAATTGGGTAATGTTCTTCTCCTAGACAGGAGAATAGCTGCCACAACTAGGAAAGAGAAATGTAACTTGTCTTCCTTCTCTCCTGTTCAGAGAAAACTCTCTCCCTCGGATCACATGGGAGGCAGAGGGGAGGCCTAGTGAACGATCGATCCTGATTTTATTAGGGAATGTGGATGGAACTTATATTATCAACTGAAAACAATATATCTATTAGTCTTGTTTAAAAATGATTCATTTACATTTTGAATTCCTGGAATTAGAGATGGTAAGAGGCATTATGAATTTGCAAGACATCTTTCATCCAAGGATATTGCAAGATATGCCTTTGCTTAGTTTTAACATCCTTTCCAATGACATAGTTAAGAGTCAGAGCAAAACTTGAACTTTAAAAGCTAACAGAAACAATGGCTAGACTGCAAACTGCAGGGAGTGGGGGGGAATCAATTAATTACTTAAGAGATGTTGATCACCTTACTGCTACTTCTCTCTTCAGAGGAAGGCAAATGTTTAGATCTTTAATAATCTGACTTTCAGACCCTCTAGTTACATGGAAGGAGGAGGCAAGAAATATAGAGTGAAGGATCGCCTCTGTATATAAGAATGGTAATATGTATCAAGTCTTAAAAATACTTCTATTACCTCAGGAACCCAACTTCTATGAATTTATAATACAGAGAAAATAGAAATGAGAAAACTATTACGTAAGTTAGTCATAATGTTAGTAATAGCAAAACAATAACAAACCTCCAACACTGGAGAAATGTAATATAATTGAGAATAGAGTCACAATCTTGTGTTGAAAATTAGATTTACAAATAGATATTAGTGGAATGATGCATAAAATTTTGTAACTGGGTACAAAATGATAGGTAATATAGTCAGAACTACATCTGAATGTGTAAACATGTCACAAGGCTTTCAACAACATTGAATGTTAATTCTGTCCACCTTTTCTGCATTTTATAGTTATTAAACAAAAATACTATATTTTATTCAGGAAAGTAATATTCAAGAAGTCACTGACTTAACAGTCTTAAGTTTTAACAGTCTCACTAACTAGATCATTCCTATCATGCTACCACTATATACATGAAACCTTGATTCTGGGGTCAGCCTTATTCTTTTCACCAGATTTTAAAGAAATTAATAGGCTAAATGTTAAAGTCACTATCAAGTAGGGTTCTCTAGACTTTGTAGACAATGATAAATAGCTACCTTGTTGTACAAAGAGAAACTAAGATGTCAACAAGGACTCTACTAGGTCCACTATTAGGTGTAAGTTCAAGCTTGGTTGTGTTACTTTTCTCTTTAAGCCAAAGTGTCTTTGTCTGTAAAATGTGGGTCATAATAGCACCTATCTTATAAGGTGTTGTGAGGAGTCAATGTTTTGTATATATGGTGTTCGGTACATTCTCTGGCACAATTCAACATTCAAAAGTGTTAATTACTACGTCATTCACGATCCAACCAGTCAGCCACAAACTAAACCCCTAGAGACCCCATTCCCAATCCAAAACTTCATTTACACTAAGAAGAAGATGAAAAAGTAAAGCTCAACATCCATGAAAACCAGTAGGAATTCAGAAGACAAAGCCCAGATCCAAAATACAGATTGTACCCAGAACAGGAGCATGCTTGCTGGGTAAGGGAAGTGGGAATGAAGTGCTCGGAGAGGCCAGGAATGGCAGTGAAACATGAACAAGTGAAGAGTAGAGACAACCAGGAGACCCAACCCACCGACTGCAGCCAGAACCCAAGAACAGAGTTTTAAAGAGACGAGAGAATGTACAGACAACTGAAAGTTTTAGTGAGCCCAAGGACAATCACAAGGCGGAAGGAGTGGAATTTAAAATCCCAGGTTAATTTGTCAAGAGGAAGCCAAAAAGGAGACCCAAGAACCTTCCATTTACTTACATTTCAGTGCAGCAGCCTCTTGGGCCGCCCTTATTTCAGCCCAACGGAAAGTCCAATAATCAACGCTAAAATGCCCAGCAACACAACTACTACCACAATGATAATTATCAACTTCTGGAGAGGGATAAGAGAAACAAAAACAAGGCATTATTACACACAGCCAAAAGCAATAATAATTCATCTAAAACCCAACCCCTCTCACCTCAACATCGAAAGCATCTTAGCAATTCAAATAAAAAAGCCTACACCCTATATGAAGACATTCCATTAGGATATTTTATACTTGTCAGATTACTTCTTGACTAGCCATATATTCCATATGGAAACACAGAGTTTCTATCAGCTCTCAGCTCACACTGCTGTCCTGCCCATGTGGGCAGACATAAGAGCAACTATCATGGAGTTGCCACGCAGTAATAGACCAAGATATAAAGTGATTCATCTTTCCTCTTCAAGAAGGGGTGCAACGTTATTTTTGACACAGTCCTAATGTCAAACTCTGTCCATCTCCTCCCTAAAGCACATGCCCACCTAACAGCCCCAGTGACTGGGCATCCAAAAGTAAGAGTAGGGTCCTGTTGTGAACCATTCTGGATTCATCATGTAAAATAACTCCCCAGTTTCCCAAATCCCTGTGCAAGCAACAGGTGAAGTGAGAAAACAAGGAACTGAAGAACATAAATATCAGAGCCCATGAGGAACAGGAAAGAAATGTCTAAAGAGCAAGCAAAAGCCACAGAGCTGGCCACCAGTCAATGGGCAGAGAAGCCATAAGGCCTCTAGCACTGGGGCACCAGAAGGAAGGGGGTGGAGAGATGGAATGTGTGGTGGGAAGAGCATGATTAGGATCTGAATCTGAATCCCAGCTCCTATGCTGACTAGTTGGCCTGAAGCTAATTCGCCTCTGACCCTCCTGTCATCTATGAAGTAGGACTAAGAGGTGCTCTGTAAGATACACTATGTTCACAACAATCAGCACAGAACTGATTTCCTGGTAGAGAAAGGGTTGGGAATAGGGGGATCTTGGGCTGCTTGAGAAGAAGAGAAGGTTTCAGAGGAGTCAAGTGTAACATCGTCCAGGAGCAACACCCGGGCAATTGCTCCATCCTATAGAACTGCCTTCAGTGTGGGTTCTCGAGTGCGAGCCTGTGAGCCAGATCCATGAGAGGCACAGCACAGGAAGGAAGGACAGCTAGTCTCTAGGAGAGGCTGACACAGGTGTTTGGATGAGGCCAGGACACAGAGAAAAGGCACAGGCTCAAGGACACAGGTGGGGATAACTGGAGAGAGGGGAGGCAAGTAGGACCAGCTGGGACCAAGGTGCTCACCCTCCGAGCTTCACTCTGATACTTGACAGCTTTTTTGGTATCCGTAACGGCTCGCTCCACGAAACCCACTGACTGGTCCATGTTGTTCTCGATACGGTCAATCATGGCTCCCTTTCCCCGGATGCAAGAGGCGGTGGCAGCAGGAGAAGAGACAGAGAGAGGGAAGAAAGAGCGAGAGACAGCGCACACCATGGACTCTTCCCTGAAGGCGGCGAGAGTCTCACCTTCCGGGCCTGGCTCTGGTATTTCACGGCTTTTTTAGTTTCATCCCGTGCCTTCTCCACATGGTCCACTGTGTGCATGACATTCAGCTCTATGTTATCTAACATCTCACCCTGCAAAAGAACAGATACCAGTCACACTCAATAACAGTCCTCCCTGATTTACCCATGGGCCTCCTGGCCTTGGAGGTCATTCACTGAGTTATTTCTCTGTGACAGGCCCTAGGCTGGTCACCTGTAGCACACTGCCTACGTGCCTGGTATCTACATATTATAACAGATCCCACCACTATTTTCTTTAATTAAACATGTGAGACAAGAAAGCAAAGTAAAGATGTCTCATTTTCTTAGAGGATTACCAGGGTCCTTGCCTCTTCCTGGTCCATTCAGACCTGAACCAAGTTCATTTGGCTTAAACCAAGTTTGTTCAATACCACTGAATGATGCCTGGCACACAGTATGTACTTCATAAATATCTGAGGGTTGGAATATGTCCTTTCTCAAAGAGATATTCCCAGGCCCCTTAAGTAACACACTGGGTTTACCCAAGCTATTTGACTAGGAAACAGTGATCTCTTAAGAAGATTCCCAACCTCAGATATAATAGCGGAGCCAATAATACCAGCAGCTATTACTTCCTGACAAGAAGTGCTTTCATTCCAATTAATTTATGGGCACCGTAGGATGGGAATTCCCCTCACCTACTACATCTTCCCTTAACTTGACCCATCGTTTTATGGCAGTCTGTCAACAGGGAAAGGCACTTACCACCACTTGGATCTCAAACCAGCTCCTCGGCAAGGCAGTGTGGGGAGAAAAAGGAAAAGTGGGGATGGAAGAACTAGCAACATGGTCTCAAAGGCCAGGCTAGGAGGAGGAATGCAGTGAGCCCTGAGCAGGGAACTGATGTCAACTGCCAGCCAGGCAGTGCTGCCAGGCAATGCTCAGGCTGCGGTTTGGTTCTGCAGTCCTTCTCCAAAGGAAGCAGTTCTCAGTCCTGTCCAGCTGGCCAAGCAGCTGCAGGTTCAGTGACGATGGCACGACACCACAACAGCAAGTCGTGTCTGACTATGTGAAACTAACAGTGCTCGCAGATGACAGAGACTCGCATCCCTGCGAAGTGTGCCCAGGAACAGAACAAGAGTCCAGGTAAGCACCATTTGTGTTTCAAGTCTTTATGTAAATACTGTGCTATTCCTTTGTTATCTATTCTTGTTCCTAAGCCAAAAGTGGCAACATTTTTAGAAGAATATAGAATAAAAAACAAAAATGGAAAAGAAAAATTTCTATTAAACCTAACTTTTCACCAGTGAAACAGTTCATATCAGGAGACTGTTTTAAGGCATCAACATTAAAAAACCTGTATCTCTAACTTTAAAAGCAAATAAAAATAGAACCTGAGTCCAGAGGAAACTAGGCACTTGGAAGATACTTGTAAGCCCATATTAACTAGAAATGACTGTGAGGCCAAAGTACTAGAAAGAACGAGAAGGCAGAGACTGTCCCATGTATCAGGGTCCAAGCGTGCATTCCTTTCCCTGGGATACTGGAATTCTGTTTCTCCTTCAAGCAAATTCTGATGAAGCTCCTTCACCTGGCTCATCATATTCCCTTCCTCACCATTTTCAGAAGTACCTGAGCTCCCCTTTTCTCCCTCCCCACACTGGTATCCGCGGCTGGTTACCTGATTCTCCACCAGCATGGCAATGTCCATAAACATGTCATGGAGCTCCTTGATGCTGCTCTCCAGCCTCACGATGTCCTTGTGCCGCCCCTCGATCTCACTGAGGGCTTGCTTGGAAATCTGAGAGTCAATGATCTACAAGAGGCCACACAATGACAGGCATCAGCCACCATCCCCTGCTGCAGCCCTCACACCCCCTCCTGCCCAGCTCCTCACATCCCCTGCCTCCCTGCACCTGCAGCCCACCCTTCCCTGGCTACCCAAATGGAGCTCCCAGTGCCCTCTTCTGTGGAGGGGCATATGTCCCAGCCCCTGAATCACTCACCCCAGAAGTGAAGATGGCAGGGTTTCCACTCTCCAACATCTCCTCCAGCTCCTCATCTGTGGTCTTTTTGCCGGCTTTATAACAGAAGCAGAGCATTGAATATAAGGTCAAAAGACACCATTTCAAAAGTTCCCTGAAGATTAGGAATATGTTAACTTCACTATAAAGACCATGGCTTTTACAACACTCTCCTAATAGTCTTCTGACTCATCTGTCCTCTGACTTCTCCCCTAATCTGATTCATTGTTAATATGATCGCAATTATCTTCCTGAAGCATATACCCGATCACATTCTTCCCAGCTCAGAACATTACCTGGTCCCATCACTATGCCTCAGAGACCAAGGCCTTCAGGACAAGGAGCCAGTTCCTGGGTGGACCCTACCTGCATCCCCATTAACTTCTGTTATTCCCAAATGCACACTTTCCCGAGGCCCTGGATAACCTGCCATTCCTAAATACACTTGTGTGTTTTTCACAATGTCCTTGTTCCTACAGTTCTTCCACTTGCAGGGCATTCCCAGCCCCTCCACAGGGCCCTGAGTTCCACATTACCAAATTCCTAAAGAGCACAGCTTCATTAATGTCCTCGTTCCTCACAGCAACTAGCATCACACCTTTTATTTCATAAATTATCTTTGCTATCAAAAAGACAACAAAAAGCTTTTTGAGTCCCCAGGAGAGCCATTGTGTAGCAAGTATCTACTCTTTACATATAGGAAACACTGGCCTCCATAAAGATAAAATCGCTTGGACCTGATAAAACACTGGGCCAACTTTCAACCCAGGCTTGGGTACAGAATATGAGATGGAAGCCATAAGCATGATTGCGGTTCCTTTTCCCCAGATCTCACAACTGGGACAGACAACCATGTGGCAGGAAAACGTGCACCACCAAATTTCAGACACGTACTGATTTCGAGCTGCCGCTGGATTCGCCCTTTGCTGCGTTCACGAAAGTCCACTTGAGCCTCATTGTATTTGGTCATCACCTCCACAAACTTCCGGGAGAGGACAGAGTGCTGTGGGAAGAATGTTAAATGTAGTAAGCCCTCAGGGAGGTGAAGGATGGGGGAGGTCCCTAACTGTTGTAGAATCCCCACCTCCATCACCACCCCACATTAGCTTCCTCTCCAGCAGCACTGGCCTTGGAACCAAAAGACTAATATATCAGACTCGACTTTTTGGTGTTCTAATTTTACACCAATGGGAGATCCACTAATCTTTCCAAAGCCTGTCTTCAGCATGTTTACCTGCCCTGCTGACCTCATGTGGTAATTGTGAGGCCAGACGAGATACTCTGTGAATCTCAGAGCCCTGTACCCACATGGACGAGGAGCATTTTTCTGGCACAACCCTTGGCGGGCTTTCTAAAACGGTCAGATTCCCTTCCTACATCCCATACCTACCAAAGTCCTGAATTCTTACTCAAACTCTTCTCCCCAACTCTTCTTGCTTCTAACTAGAAAAGTGAATGCATTCACTTAATAGCCATTAAGCACCACTGGTTTGAAAAAATCACCAATATTTATACTTTTTTCAAACCTACTACCACTGTGAAAATTCAGAAACAAAATCATTGCAAAAACCCACCTAGCCAACTTTCCTCTTGCCTCTTTCCCCCTCTGAGCCAACTTTCAAACAGACTTCAACCTGAAGCAAATGCATATAGGTAATTCAATCATAATCAGATTCCCTAGAACAGTGGTTGACAAACTCATAGTTAACAGAGCCAAATATTAACAATACAACGATTGAAATTTCTTTTGAGAGCCAAATTTTTAAAACTTAAACTTCTTCTAATGCCACTTCTTCAAAATAGACTTGCCCAGGCCGTGGTATGATATTTTGTGGAAGAGCCATACTCAAGGGGCCAAAAAATCGCATGTGACTCTCAAGCCACAGTTTGACGACCACTGCCCTAGAAAGCAAATACTGCCTCTCTTCATGTTTGTCCTTCATCCCTACCTCACCACCATCACCACCACAGCTGCCACAAACACACACACCCACAACCCCCCACATACATACACTACATACACCGACACAGATTCACACACATACACACCCCGCAGACACAGACACAGACACAGACACAGACACACAGAGAGACACACACACCCTGAACCTCTACCCCTGAGCCTGTCTGTCCATGTGCGCACTCTTACCCATCCGAGGCTCAGCCTCCTCTGGCTACCCCCAATTCTTCCCTAAGTATTTCATGCTAAGAACACATGCAATAGATTAGGTATTCTTACACTGCCCTCCATAACAGGTTCCTTATGCCACCTGAACATGCTAGTTCTTAAAGGGCAACCCTTGATGTCCACCAAAGAGCCTAACTCCAAAGGGGACAGCTAATGATAATCTTTAGAGAGAAGACTTCAGTTTCCTTCCCTGTAAAACTAAGAGGTGTACGAAATCCTAAGCTATGTTTTGGGAGCCCTAAGACATTCAAGGACCTCCTTAGAGAAGGAGAGTGTGAGAGTGTCCAGGAAGGCTGGACTTCAGCCCTGTTCTCTGCTTTAACCTGGACAGCTCCTCCTTTCCCGTTCCCAATTGAGTTCCAAGTAAGAATTGCACTTAAAAAACAAACAAACAAAACCCTGAGCTAAGAAAAAAATAAATGAGATTGAACTAGATGATTTTTAAATCAGAGAAAGTCCTACCTGAGATTTTCGAATCCGGAGGTCTGCTGACGAGCGGACCTCATCTTCTTCAATGTGCCTCTCCATGCCTGGAGCAAAGAGATAGATTATTCCAAGAACACACCTGCTGCTCTCCTCTGAGAAACACACTGGTCAATACACATCTCCTTGCTCCTTCTCACACACCCAACCCATGGAGATGGAGCAACAGGCAGGAGTAATCTCTGAAAGTCAGCGCAAGTGTGAGCCACAGGAGTCACAGGACTTGCATTCCACACGGTTTGCTAGGTTTTCTTTGGCTACATCTTAGCACAGCATGAGTCTTAGTCACCAAGAAACTCAGCCTCAAACCCTTGCCCTGCCACTTACTAGCTGTGTGACTTTGGGGAAGCCATTGCATCTTTCTCAGTATTCCCTCACCTATAAAATGGAATACATATAGCACCATCTTCACAATACTGACGTGAAGATTAAATGGCACTGCGCACAGAGTGCTTGGCTCAGTGGCAAACACACCATCATTGCTACTATTGGAAGCTGCTACTATGATCTCCACCTCTACCCCCATGAAAACAAATACAGTGATTTGTTTTGAGGGGAAAAGTAATAACTTGGGCTGAACAACGCTGATTTCACTCTCTGACCAATAACATACATTCACCAAATACACTGGACAGGAATGCAACCACAGCCATTGAACTGAGAGACCTTTTGGGCCCCCAGAGGAATTAAATCTATGACATTGGTTTCACTGAACAATGCTCTAAACTGAGGGGTGGTGCTAAGGTAATGGCCAGTGATATACCCCCAAGAAATGTCAATAGACTAAATAATTTATTGTGCATCTATATATCTCTACCATTGCTATTCAAATGTACATAGGTGCAGGGGAAACAGAGAAAGGCAGAGTCCCCTAGTGATAGCTGCCAAGTCACACAACTACTCAGTAGCTGAGTGCACATGTCAATGCTCATCTACTAACTTCAATTCTGCACTCTTTCAACCACAGTCATGATAAAAAACGGGTACATTTCTGGGGAGAGTGCCCAAACCACAGGTAAAGATAGAACAAGTGGCTTTGCTTCCACCAGGATGAGTTTTGATCCAGAGATTTGGACCCTGTGGATGTGACACAGTTATGGTGGGGGCTGGCTTGTTCCCTTTACTCCCTTCTTACTCTTCAGTTTGTTCCGGACGTTGTTGGCCCTTTTCTTGATTTCAGTCGTGAGCTGCTCTAGGTCATCCTTGGTTTCTGGGTAAACAAAGGCAGGTGGGATCAGTTAGAAAAGACTAATTATTAATATCCAGAGGACTAGTGTGCTCTCCATCATTAGAATCATAGAGAGCTTATTTTTAAAAGGCATTTTCCCAGGCATCCCATCCCAGACTTACAGAATAACACCACCACCACCACCCCGCCAGGGTTGAATCTCCACCATCTGTCTTTTTAGCAAGCTTTCCCAAGTAATTCTCCAGGACACAAATTTTGAGAACCTTGTTTTCAGAGGAAATAATCTGGTTTACCATGAGGGCTTCCATTCAGAAGGTAGGATAAGGTTTTTATGGGACTTCTGAGGAGAAAAGAATTCCACATTCATCAACTTAGAATCGAGCAACTATTTATGAAACACCTATTGTGTGCACAATGCTGTCCTAGGAGGTATGGAGCAAAATGAGTATTAGCTATGACTACCCTACAGCACCTACTGCAAGCATGGAACTGAGCTAGAAACTGTTTTCAGAGAGAAGATATAGAGCCTGCCTTCAAGCTGTTCAGGGTCTAGTGGGGAACAAGGAACAAAAGGGACACCATTGATTACAGTTCTAATATGGAGGGAGTAAGGTGTGAGTTCTGGTCAAGGTGTGCATGGGTTGGGATGGTTATGAAGAGCCCGCTAGCACAGCTGGAGGGACCTGGAAAGGCTTTTTTTTTTTTCTTTTTTTTTTTTCTTTTGGGAAAGGCTTTTTAAAGACAGATAATAATAGGACTGTCTCGATGAAGGACTAAGAGTTAACCAGGTTGAAAAAGAGACTAAGACTGAAGTCTCAGGGAGAAAAACAATGAGTGAAAGACCTTTGGGGACAAGAAGCATTTGGGGAACAGAGTTTGATCTGGCTACAGTGTTGGTAACCTGGGGAAGGATGGCAAGAATGTGGCCAAGACCATGCCATAGGCTCTACTACAAGTTTCAACTTTAATCTTTAGGTAATTGTCACTGAAAAAGTTCAATAGTATCAAACTTGTTCCTTGTTCTTATGGAATCTAAAATATAACCCTAAACTTTACTCTAAAAATTTGAAATATTGAGGGGGGAAATTTTGCCTCCATGCTGGTAATGAACAGATTAGTGATGGGAGGGACTGATATGGACTTGAACCATTTTGTAAAGCCTAATGAAAAAATAATGGACTTGATCTGGTACTATTTAGCAGACAGCAGAAGCAAAGGGGCAGAGGTGGGGCTGAGATGAGGTTCATTAGAAGCAGGAAGAGTCACTGTTAGTCATGAGCAACCAGTTGGGAAGTAGAGGAGTTTCACTTCCATGAAGAGAAGAGCTGACTATGGCTGGGCAGGGTGAGCCCAGATAGGGTAAAGGAGGATGGGAGATGCTATGATGTGTACTGGTGGAAGATAACGCATATGTATGCTGCCCTGCTATTCACAGAGGAAAGGAAAAACAAGATTGGCTCAGCCCCTATGCCAAGGGTCATCGCTTGGTGATTCATCTCCAGGTAAACACTCACTTGGTTCTGGAATTGGTGCAGACAGAATGATACTGTAGAGTTTCTTAGCCCCCTCTACATGCTCAGAGATCTTGTCAATGTTGAGCCGAGTTTCCTCGATCTATAATCAGAAAGACAACAGACTTGGTCATCAAAGAGGAAGAATACATTCATGACTGAGATAAGAGCTGAGCAGAGCTCCCAAGTGAAAGCTGCCCACCTTCTCAGTTTGTGAAAGAAGATATAACTGAAATGTCTTCTGCTACCCAGTGAGTAAATTAATCTCAGCAGAGCAGTTATTGGAAATTCACACTCATCTGTACACATTGGAGGGGAGGATTCAGGAGGATAAAGGGAACAAGAAGAGCCAGGAAACCCATGAAGAGGGATCAGAGGGAAGGGCCAACACACTTGATCAGGCATCCTTTAGCCCCCTGCACCTTCTTTCCCAAAGGTGAGAAAAGAGAGAATGGGAAAGGTGAAAAGAGAAAGTAGGAAAGAAATAAAAGTGAAAAAGAGAGAACCAACCTATAGAGTAAAAAATAAAGAGAGAAGAATGAGAGGAATAGTGAGACAGAAATAGAGAAAGAAAGAAACTAAGTATGACCACCTCAAGAGGCAGCTCGAGCCTTTTTCCAACATATTATGTTATACTGTACTAGAGGCCCAGTGCATGAATTCGTGCAGTGGGTAGGTGTCCCTTAGCCTGGAAGGCAATCGAGGCCTATCAGTGGGGCTGGCCAGCCAGGGGAAGGGACTGCAGGAGGTTGGCCAGCCAGATGCCCCCCCCCCAATTGTGGCCAATGGGGAGGCTGGGGGGAGGGCCCACAGGAGATTGGCAGGCCAGGGGGGAGGGAGAAAGGCCAGGGTAGGTTGGCTGTGGGAGCACACGGACCACCAGGGGGCAGCTCCTGTGTTGAGCATCTTCCCCCTGGTGGTCAGTGTGTGTCATAGCAATTGGTCAGCCAGTCATTCCAGTTGTTCCAGTTATTAGGTCGTAACAGTTGCTTAGGCATATATATATATATATATATATATATATATATATATATATATATATATATATATATATATATATATATGGCTGATTCCCTCATATGATCACAACCCTAAAGCTCCAGCCATGACTGCTTCTGCACATTCTTAAGGTTCCTGATTATACAGGTATGTGTCATGAAGTATTTCCAGAAGCACTTTGTTCCCAGAGAGAACCCCAACACAGGACACTGCCCCAGAGCATTAAGAGCGTCAGCCCCTCTTCAAAGGCGCAAGCCAACCCTGCCCCCTGGCCCCCTGGCCCCCTGGCCCCCTAGCCCCGGCTGTGGTGAAAGCCACTGAGCAGGGAGCAGCCCATGCTGAAGAGACCTGAAAACCCAACTCACCTACCTGCCTCACTTCCAAAATGAGGGGCATATCAACGAGGCAACAATTAACAAACAAATTATGTAAAAAGCCATACAGGAGAATCTGAGTATCTGAGATGCAACCAAAGTACATCTCACCCAGTGGGGTAGCTCAGTGGTAGGGCATTGCCAGGATGCAGGCTCGATCCCCAGTAGGGAGTGAGCAGGAGGCAGCCAATCAATGATTCTCTCTCACTATTGATGTTTCTATCTCTCCCCCCGCACCTCTTCCTCCCTGAAATCAATAAAAATATTTTTAAAGACATACATCTCAATTTGCTGCTTTCAGAACTCCTTTCTTCCATAAATAATTATACCTGATGATACCTCTCCAAATTGCATAGAACATGGGAGAAATAAAACTTTAGTTCTTGAACCCTCAAATTAGTATTTTTGCTACTGGATCAGGGGTCTTCCCCTCTATAAATACTGGCCTTCATGGACCATAGTTGAAAGACATAAAATAAAATTTCAACGTAATATTATCAGAGTATATATACAAATGTAAATAGCCACCCAAACATTTGTCAGTTTAACGGTTGGCAAAACAATCCACAGTACTGCATTAGTACCTTTATTCAAATGAGGAATCTAAATGTTGGTGCTTTCCAGATTCCAGCTAGGATGCTTTTTCCATTAGATCTAAGATTTGATGATTGGCTATTCCAAAGTGTTTCATGTTTAGCAGAATCCCAAGTCTCTGGGACTATAATAATGGCCTATGTCATCACCTGTGAAATCAGGCAGCCTCAGCAGTGTAACCACCTCAGAATCAGGCCCTCCGGTGACCAGAAATTGCCACTTTTTCCTTCCCTTCCCCTTTATCTCTCACATCGAACACTGGCTCCTCTTAACAACTCATAAAATGTCATTGCATCACACCAGATTCCCATTTCCATCACATGACTGTCTTGCCAAAACAATTGCATTACATAAACAGGACTGAGAAATGGCTTTCTAGAATAAAATGCACTAACCATTGGTAAATGAGCTTGACATATTTTCACTGGTCAGAGGCCTTAGATTTTTGCATGTTCCATGGATTGGATGTTTTAGATATATCCTGTAATTTTATTTCATAAACTGAAGAGCATTGTGACCCAAAGTTTGGTAAATGGTATTAAAAATGTGACAGGGAGCTGCTAGGATGTGATGGCTGGGCCTCAAGCTCAGAGTCGCTCTAAATATTTAGATACTGGATAGGAAATGGCTTGCCCAGCCCTGTGGATGGGAGAATAGGGCCGTGTGCTCCATCCTCAATCTGCCTGCAGGACTTCCTGGGCCTGAGGAGCATGTACCTCCTCTCCTTCCCTCTGTCCTCAACAACCTCACTTCTTGGAGGCATTTCAGAAACCGACAAAAATTTAGTCCATGCACTAAATAATCACCCTTCAGAACTTCAGGATGGGCAACTGGCCAGCCACAAAAGCCATTTCTTTTTATCCACAGTTTGTATCCAATGCAAATCAATTCCATAACATGAGAAGTTATTATGATACAAAGCAAAGCATAAATACACAAATGCATTATATACTCCAAAACAGATGTACAGCATTCAGGAAGGAAACAAAAGGGAATGTTTATTCACATATGCAGTAGCTAGAAATCTGCTGGGTATAGTGTTCCTGCTAGGAAAAAAAAAAAAAAAGGGACAAGTGACTTTGAGTATCAAGACTACCATGGCAATATTAAATAGTGGAACACTTAAGCACCCATGTGTGATTGTGAGGACAAGACTTAGGGAAGTATCTGTTTTCAAAAAGGTTCTTGCACCAAGGCAGTTGTGAAAAGATACACTTTCCAGAATCAAGCTCACATTAGGCTTTGGCTCAGGTTCTAAATATCTACAAATATGGAAAGCTTTCTTCTTTTGAACTTTATTGTCTATTTTTTTCTTGGAAACGTTGGTTTTCCTCAGAGGTGACTTTCCGGGTATTCCACAGTGGCAGCTACATGCAATTGATTTCCTTTTGTGCATCTGCCAGATAACCAAAAAAGTACAGTGTTGGGAGAAGGAGCCCAGGAATCAGGAACCTAGGAGGAAATCTACAGGTATGGAACCTAATGCTCAAGGCTATTTGTGTGTTTGTTTGGGGTTGACATTACCCTGCACAATAATATGTTTAAAGACTAAAACTACTTTAACATGTACCTATCTATCAATATAATATATCAGAAATAAAGACCTTCACAGGATGTCTGTGAAGTCACCATCACTTTCTTCCTTTTATGCATGAGAACACTGTGGCTCAAAGAGAGAGAGAAACTCACCCAAGGCCATGGTGCAGAAATGTGAAAACAAGGTTTGAATGTTGGCATCTGTTAAATCCTGTCTCCTGAACCAGGTAAAGGTGCAAGAACCACCTATGGGAGGCTCCTCTGCCAGGTCCATGCTATCAGTGAGTGCATGCTGTGTGAGAGGGGCTTAGTGGCCTCTCACTGAGATCATCTGCCACATTTCTTTGTTCTCTAGCCAATGCTCCCCTACGGAGAGCTTTTTACACAAGGTGTGCTCATGAAACACTGCTGATCTAGGGAGCCAATCAGGTTTTTCTCATTGCCGTGCTAGATTTGTAGCTACCCTGTTTCCCCGAAAATAAGACAGTGTCTTATATTAATTTTTTCTCCCAAAGTTGCGCTAGGTCTTATTTTCGGAGGATGTCTTATTTTCGGGGAAACATGGTAATATGTCCTTAATGCCTGCTTATTGTGTGTTACTTTTTTAAATGTATTTTTCAGCAACGTGGAAAACAAGTTAGAATCAAATTCAACAAGTTCAAGGTTTGGCTCTATCAGCAGTTTTGTGACTTTGAACAAGCCACTTACCACCACCCCCTGCCCCAGTTCTCTCACCAGTGAAATGAAGATTATCATAGTTTCCACTTCCTAGAGGTTTTGTGGGGTTTAAGTGAGATAATATAAGTCAAACACTTCACACAAAGTATATGCTCAATAAGCATAAATGATGGTGATGATAATCTATAATAATAAAAGCATAATATACTAATTAGACCGGACATCCTTCCAGACGAAGCCAGGGCTTCCCTGGTCCCAGGTGCCTGCCAGTGGCTGGAGGGAAGCCTGGGTCCCGGGTGCCAGAGGGAAGCCAGTGCCAGAAGCCAGGGGAAGGAAGGCCTACACTTGCACAAATTTTGTGCATCAGGCCTCTAGTACAATCATAACCAACAATTACTGCACGTTTATTAAATGCCATTTCCCATGCTGTGCCTACACAAGGACACCTCATTTAATCCTCATGGCAATCCTAATAGTAACAAAATGCTAGGTGATGTTGTCAGGAGCCATCCAAGGAAATCAAGTAAGGACAGCAAGTCAACCAATCCTCAAATGTCTACCTCATGGAACAAATTATAATTAGCACAGTATACTAATCACCATCATCTAACTAAAGGGAGGGGGTTATCTTCAAGGCATGGATGGCCTCTTCCCTCTGGAATTAATTAGCCAGCGGAATTTAATTAGACAATGGAGCCAAAACCGGTTTGGCTCAATGGATAGAGCGTCGGCTTGGGGACTGAAGAGACCCGGATTCGATTCTGGTCAAGGGCATGTACCTTGGTTGCGGGCATATCCCCGGTAGGTGGTGTGCAAGAGGCAGCTGATCGATGACTCTCTCTCATCGATGTTTCTAACTCTCTATCTCTCTCCCTTCCTCTCTGCACAAAATCAATAAAATATATTTTAAAAAAATAATAAT